GCTTCAAAAATAAATCAAGGTGACTGGCTCAAAAACTTATTCCAGGGCTTCAACAGAGGCGTCAGTGCAGATATTGGAAATCCAGTGGTCCACTTCCACTCTCTTCTCCAGTTACTGCATCAAGGCAGTTTAGGTGTGAAGAAGGACAGACAATAAAAGCCATTTCCCTAGGTACCCTCTGCACGAGAATGGCAAGAGCACAAAAAAATATCATCCTCATGTTTGCTCTCCTGCTTCATGAAGTTACAAACCCAATACCGACATGTCAACCGATCAATAAAGTCCACACAAACCGATTTATGATAAAAGGAATTACCATCATGAACTAAAAATCAAAACATCATCAACTCAAGTTATTTTCTTACAAATTTTCCAAGAAGACATTAAATAGGTTTCAAATACTTAAACTGTGCATATAAATACACATATAACAAGCAAATCTGTTGACCGCAGAAATATAAACTGTCTTATCTCCAGACATGCGATGGTCACTTTAAACAAACACACACCACACAGAAGCAAGATTCTATCGCCTGGGCAGTCATCTGGGGTCACAGCAGCTACAATGACCAATTATCAGTTATCTGTTGGTATTGATTTTCAAATCAAATGATCTACAGAAACAAGCCTCTTTTATTTGAAGTGTTTAAGGAGGAGTAGAAAAACTGCAGGCCCTGAAAATATATTAAATTACACAAATGGCTTATCTCAAAAATGGCTGCAAACAAATATTGTGCCAAATAAATACCTTTAAAGTTTGTGCATTTATAAATAATAATAATATTATTCAAAACCTATAAATCAAAATAAAACAAAAAATAAAGACAATAGCCATTAATTCAAAATATAGCAACACTGTAGAAACACGATTTAAAAAGCAGTAGAATATAATGTTCAGATCAGCGGACTGGACAAAGAGAGTGATATACAGTATGCATAGTATTGAATTGAAGCCTGAATGGGAAGCCAGTAGAATTGTTTTAAGGCAGCAGTGATAAAAACTGTCAGTGGCCTAGGCAGTGTATATATTAGATGATCTGATTGCTTTGTGTGTCAGTGTGGTTGGGAATGTTCCATGTTCAGCAAACAAATCAAAAGAACAACATTTTATGTGATCCTTTACCCCTTTCTGGGGACTTCACTTGTGAGGTTTGGAATTGATTTATCTGCATTTATGGACATAACAAAGTATTCTAAATACAATTCTAGGCAATATCCAGGACTGTGTACACTGTATTTGATTTCCCAGAACCACAATCCTATAAAATTTACATGAATGTTTTATAAATACAAAATTGCAGCGTAATTGTTATAATGCACTACCTGCACTTTTTTTTACATCTGGCTGTGCTGAAGGAATAACCTTGTTGTAGATTTGATACTGGTAAGCTTACATCTGTTTTAAAAAACCACTAAAGCAAGCTGCTTCCATTACACTACAATCGACTTGCACTTTAATCTATAACTGAATTCCAAGTAATACCTCTAGGACCAAACAATCAGTTTGATAGTAAGTCATAGATAGATAGAGCATTTTTGAATAAAGACAAAATATACACGAAGAAGGTAGAATGAAAACATGTACTATAAGAACAGGGAGCTGGTCTGCTCAATAACCTTCTACACTGCTTTAAAAAAAAATGTGTCTCTCATTGCTTTAAGTCTTTGATTTTCATCTGCTATCAGTAATCTTGATTAATTTATAAATAAATGTTTTAAACTAGAGGATCAGAGAGGCGATACCGCCTCCAGATATTGTACCACCAGCTGGAGCAAGCGCATTCGTATGGACCCCCCCCCCCCC